TTCATTATATAATATAAAGAATAGTAACAGGGTTGGATTGGCATTTCAAAGGACCAGTCTGGTCAATATCACTAATAGTTCCTCAATAATTTTTCACATGCATTCTTTTTAAATAAGAATACTTCAAATGTGCCATTCCACAAGACAATTGCCTGGTGGGCCAGTCTGCCCCTAAATATGAAAGAAATGCATTAGGAAATGTGTTTATCAGTATTTTCTATATTAAGCAGCTATTTCACTGTAATATTACAAATATTAGTTTTCTTCTTTTGGAGAATGTAGGATTTCAACTCTCTTTTTTTTTTCTCTACTTTCGGTCTGTTTTGAACGTAACTTTCTCTAGAAACTACTACTAATTTACTGCACAGAACTTCAGAATACGAGAAATTTGTAACTGTTATATTGAACACTGCACACCCTGTTTCATGAAATGTTCCTTTGGCTGCTAAGAGAGAAACATGAGACACCTATTATTACGGCAGTCACATGTTAGGTCTTAAGTTTTATATGTTGAGCTGAAAGTCAAACATTGATTTGAAATCAGGCCACTTTGTTATGGGACTACTTATTTTTCAACATACAGTCAAAAATGCAAATAAAATCTGTAAAATGAACCATGAATATTTTCACACCAATCTAAGCTTTGCTCATTAAAAATCCAATATTCCATTTAGTTAGTTTCTTATGTAACATCACTGTAAGCTTTTACATTCATCAAGATTCAATAACTTCATGTGATCATAACCTAAACATCAGAATTACTAGTGGATCCCAGTGACTTTTTAAATACATTTATATGAACAATTTTTGTGGCAAATTACTTGATTGTCTATGATTTTATTGGTTGCAGAAACCATAACAGGAGTCACCCAAAAATTTGTAACAAAAATAGAATCTACATTATAATTAATTCCATTGATTACTTTTGGGATTCCCTGGGTATTTTACATAGAAAATTAGTTATTTCAGCCAGTTGTTTAGTTGGGTTGGTTCTTTACACTGAGTGTTAATTGTAACTGGCATTAACAAAATCATCTAGTACAGGCCCAGACATTTGAAAAATGCACAAGTGCTGTAAACAGCTCCAACCAAATAGTACACAGGAGCTGTTAGTGGGCTGGTATCTTATTTCTATTCTTTGTTTACATTGGACAATAAAAGTTAATTTGTATTGACTGAATTGTACTGTTTTTCTATGAAGTGAACCTGTGATCACATTTCAAGGGCAAAGAAAGGGTAAGAGACATACATAAGGCCTAGTACATTAATTTGATGATTAAACAAAGTAGCAATCAATAAAATCTTTGTATCCAAGAAAACTGTAAAATTTATAAGCTCCTTAAAGTCTGACACATAACATCTTGACTAGAATTATATCATAATTACTCTTTTGTAAGTTACAGACAAGAGTAAAATGGTATTTAAATTTTTTACTGGGAAGTAAAACATGAGTTTCACTATTTGTTCCAAAAATTAAGTCACAAACTTCCATAAATACACATCGTATAATAAAATCGAGTTAATTTGAAATAACTGTATTATGCATAGTCATTTGTATGTACCAAGATCCTTTGTCCTGTTTGTGTTTAACTGTTAGCTAGTGGAGCATACCCAGTCATTATACTCGCACACATTGTGTATAGGATAATAATTTCTATCAGAAGTGTGACATCAAATGATTTATGAGCAGTCAGTTCTTGAAGAGGAATCTCATCTGTTTCAGCCTCATCATTTAACTTTCTAAACATGCTGGAACCATAATCATCCTCATCATGATTTCCATAATCATTTAAATCTGCATCACCAACAGAATCAATTTCATTGTATATGTCTGACTTCCATTTCTTGGCTGCATATTCTATAGACAAGTTAGAAGAAATTATATCAAATTTTCTTTTTCTTCATTTTGCCATAAGCTTCTCAAAGACTGCTTCTAATATTTGTTTCTTTTCCTTGTGTATCTATACAAAATCATTTCTTTCAATCAATAGGTGTTCCACTGTTGCATGTTTTAAACTGAGCCTTTGGTCAGTGGGCATGTGGGTAGGATGACTAAACCCTGCCTCAATGACAGTATTACTAGGCCCTATGCAGAATAATATTTCCACCAGCATATAAATATTCGTAAATTCCTTCTTTCTGTATAGAGGCAGAGATTCATATTTTTGACCTCATTCATGTA